CCCAATCTTGATAATCAGGGGTCAGAACAGATAATGAATAATCCAAGACTAGCAAACACACACACAGACACACACACATGCACACACACACACGCACACACACACACACACACACAGAGGATAGTGCTGCATAAATGATTTAGCCTGCTCAGTGGGTAGACAGTCCTTCAAGGCATTCTAGACAGAGGTACTGTGAGAGTCAGTACCCATTAATTGGCCATTGGTGTGACTCTGTATTGACTTTTCTTTTTCCCTGTGTTATTCTTTCTGCCCCCACCCTCCCATCCCCTGTTTTCATACTCCTATTTGACTTGTCTCAGACTGTACTTTTGGCCTACTCAAACCAAGACAGCAGGCATTTCATATATGAGCCACAGCCTCACACATGTGAGCTTCTCATGTTTACAGAATTTGCTAAAGGCCATCAACCACGAACCTCTAGGGATATTCCTGTAGTCAAACAAAGCTGTGTTTATTAATTTGTTGCAGCTAAGGGGACTCTACGAAGGATATCTTTAAGTGTTTCAAGAGACGAGGAGGAAGTGTGTTTATAGAGGGGTGCTGGGATTATTGATAAGATGGTTTTAGAAAGGATAGTTCAGGTTCTCTTAAGAACAAAGGAGTCTACACAGTTAGGGATCACTCTTTTCTTAGTCTTGAAACACATGGCCCAAGCAAACTGATGTTAAAGAAATTTTGTGATGCTCATCAGAGACTGGACTGCGCTAGTTAATTTTCTTTAGAAATTAAGTATAATTTGCATATTGTGATTTCCCTCTCAATTTTCTGTTCTCCCTTCACAGTTTGGTTGCCTACGGAGTTGATTCCTACCCTTCCCCTTTGAACTTTTAGCTTGAGTTCTTCAGAAAGAAACAGCACAGGAAACTCTCAACTAATTGAGCAAAGCCCACCCATATTATGAAGGGAAGTCTACTATGCTCAAATCTATTGATTTAAATGTTAATGCATTCCGCCTCATGGAAAAAGCTCTCACCAAATAGCAATCATATTGATGCACAATATTAGTACAAGGTCAGATGATTTTGTCTAATACACAGGATCACATGATTACTCCAATTAGTGACAAGTTGTTACATTGCTAACTAATTGACATAAAAGGATCTACAAAATAAACTTGGATTTAAAAAATCCTTTTTATATTTTTTTGCCTCTGAAATGAAATATATCATAAAGTACAAAAAAAGAACTGAGAAATACTTAGCTATGTATAGTGAGAGAAAGCTTCTTCCCATTTGCTCATATTTAGGTGGATGGCCAGATGTAATGCAGTTGGTGCCCTTCATAATGGGATTTGTACTATAATACTGAATACTAAAAACTGTGGTCCTGAGCTGAGTATCGTGGTGCCTACTTATATCCCTTCTGTTTGGGAGGTAGGAGGATTATGGTCTGAAGCTAGTCTGGGTAACCGTGCAAGATCCAAAAAACCCTAAAAGTAACAATGTGTTGGGGGTCATGGTTTAGGTGGTAGAGTGCTAACCTAGCAAGAATGAAGTCTTCAGCTCAACATTTAGTATTACAAAAACAAACTCCCCAAATCAGTATAAATAATGGATTCATTATCACATAAGTTGTCCTATTTTTAAAACTTTTACTTTGGTCAAAACAATTGGTACTTGGAACTAAATATTATATTTTCTGAGCTACTTAAGAAAAAAATCCCTTGGGCTGGAAAGGTGGCTCAGTGGTAAAGCACTTGCCTTGCATGCATGAGGCCCTGGGTTCGATTCCTCAGCACCACATAAGCAAAAAGAAAAAAGTCAGAAGTGGCGCTGTGGCTCAAGTGGTAGAGTGCTAGCCTTGAGCTGAAGAACTGAGGGACAGCACCCAGGCCCAGAGTTCAGGCCCCATGACTGGACCCCCCCCTAAAAAAAAAGAAAGAAAAGAAAAGAAAAGAAAAAAATCCCTAAGTATTATATTTCTCAAAATGAAATCACTTAAAAGCGATCCTGATATAAAATTTACAATGAAATATTTTACATTGATTTTGGATGATTTTTATTGTGGCAAAACATATACAACACATAATTTATCACTTCAAACATTAAGTGTAAATTCAGTGGCATTGAATACGTTCACACTCTTACACAATCATCTCAACTTCTTCATCATTCAAAACTGAAAATTGGTCCCCAGCCCAGCCCACCAAGCCTGATAATTGGAGCTTCTCATCATACAAAGGGAATGCTTTAACTTTAGGATTCATTCCGCATCTTTACAACTAATGCAAACAGTGTACCTGACAGGACTCAACACTGATGGGGAAGAAGCCTGGGGAATCTTTCACATCTCCATCCTAGTCCATATGATTCTATAAACGTAAGTAGTAGGTGTAACAGTTCATAACATTTCATATATTTTTAAAAAGATTTTATCTGTTATCTATGTTAAAGCTCAGGCAATTTGTTAAAGTGAATTCACACTACAGAGAGGAAGACATGACTAAGGAAAGATAAGATAACACAAAGGTAACATAACACAGACAAAAACATTCTCCCATAATGTAGAATAAAACTGCCTCTACCATCATGAAAATCAACGATAAAACATAAAGAGCCAAGACATCTGGTTTTGTTCCCCTCAACGAGGACAAGGTCATCTCTTAGCACAGATACAGACATGGCTCTTTGCACACATCAGAGAGAAATTAAGCTCTGTGCAGGCAGAGGAAATAAAAATGACAGACATCAAACAGGAAGCAATATAGCATGGTAGTAAAGTAACTGCATTCAATGAACAAATGTAATTTCAAATCTTGGCAGAGCACACACAGGCTCTGTGGCTTAGTTAAATCACCTTGCTAATGAAATTTTTATTTATATCACAAAACACAATACCAACCTTAAAGTTGTAATGCTCACAGAAAGGCTGAAAAACACTATCATAGTGTGTGGAATGTTGTAAATCATGAGATATATTATTAAGAGCTTGGATAAATTCATAATAAACCAACAATGAGGACTGTGACAAGTCCTGTATTCCATACATTTTCAGTTCCATTTTTGTTTCCTTTTGTTTTTGTTGTCAGTCTTGGGACTTGAACTCAGGGCTTGTCCTTGACCTTTTGGGCTCAAGGCTAGTGCTCTACCACTTGAGCTACAGCTCTACTTCTGTTTTTGTTTTTTATTTTTTGGTGGTTAGTTGGACATCAGAGTCTCACACACTTCCTGCTCAGGCTGGCTTCCATCTGCAATTCTCAGATCTCAGCCTTTTGAGTACCTAGGATTACACCCATGAGCCATTGGTGCCCAGATCCATTTAAAAGCTATACATACCAGGTAAACAAAACCTCCATGACAGTGATTTCAGAATGTAGGAATAAAACCAAACCACTAGAGGTTTGAACACATTTTTTCCAAGGTATACACTGTTTTTTTTCCAAGCAAATTTCAGTCCTATATTCTTACTGTCTTCTTTAATATTAGAAGTATATTTTATATCACAGTCTTTAAATCACACAGGATGGATTATTTCTCATAATAATTCCATGGGGGTGGATGGACTACCCTTTAAGTTCATGTTTCCACCCAAGGAAAAGCACTGATATTATGCTTATGGACAAGTGGATTTAAGACAGTGTTAGGAAATAGTTGTATCAAGCTGGCATGGAATGGGAAGGGTCACCTGTGTCCCACAGCCTCAAGGTCCTTGTCACAGCTGATCTTGAACATAGCCAGCACTCGTGTTCTGATCTGCTTGGTCTTGGCACCATAGATGATGGGATTAATCACCGGAGGCAGCAGCAGATACACATCCCCCATGAGCACATGCACAATAGGATCCAGGCTGTTTCCAAAGCGGTGTACCAACGAGAGGCCAATGAGTGGCACATAGAAGGCCAAGACCACACCGATGTGTGACACACAGGTCCCAAAGGCCTTGGCCCGCTCTGACTTGGAAGGCAGTTGAAGAACTGTTCGTATAATCAGAAAATAGGACAAGGAAATGAACATGACATCTACACCCATGACCAGTAGAATGGCGGTAAGGCCGTAGACTACGTTGGGCAACGTGTCTGTATAGGCCAACTTCATCACATCCTGGTGTACACAGTAAGAGTGGGAGAGCACATTGGAGTGGCAGAAGGCCAGCCGCTTGATGAGCAGAGGCAGGGGGAAAAAAAAGAGGGATCCTCGAACCACAGCTACCATGCCAATCTGGGCGGTTACTGTATTGTTGAGCACCGCAGCGTGGCGCAGTGGGTGGCAGATGGCCACATAACGGTCAAAGGCCATGGCCAGCAGTATGGTCGATTCAATGGCCGAGAGAGTGTGAATAAAGAACATCTGGACAAGGCAGGCCTCAAAAGTGATCTCCCGGGAGTCAAACCAGAAGAGGGCGAGGATCTTGGGCATGGTTGATGTGGATAAGGCCAGATCAATGGCAGCCAGCATGCAGAGAAAGAGGTACATGGGTGCGTGCAGGCTGCGCTCTGTCCTCACAATGAAGACCACAATGCAATTTCCGAACAATGCCACAACATACATGGAAAGCAGCGGGAAACCAAACCAGAAGTGAGCTTCCTCTAGTCCTGGGATACCAATGAGTACGAAGCTAGCATGGGTGAAGTTGCAGGAACTCATAGCTTGCACGGAGCAGTGACTGCGAAGGGTGAGATCACTCTGGCAACCTGTTAGGACATAGAATGCAATCAGAGAATGTTCCCTGGAAAATGGTGGGAGGTAAGGGGGGAGGGCGTTGAAAGTGTCTTACTTCCCTCTTCCCTTCTGTCTTCTCTTACTCCAACTTACGTTGTTCATAAGCTCCAAGACCCTCTCTTCCAAAGGAGGGAATGTGCCAGCTGAAATCCATTAGTGAACCATTATTCTCAAGGTCCATTTAATTTTCCAAAGATGACCACACTTAGAAGATAAATGCTTATCCAAAAATATGGTTGTTTCAAATGCCCTCCGATGTATCCTATTGTCCCATATCTTCATTATCTGGTTAATAGGTGGATTTTAAATTTTTTTCCTCTTATTTCGGGAGGATGGTTTTAAGGTAAAGCTGGCTTCCTTACCTCTTTATATCCCTCCCTTCATTTTCCCCTTTTCTCCAACCTTCTATTTTTTCTTGTTCTCTTTTCCCTTTCTCCTCCTTTCTTCCCCCCTCATTTTTCATCTTCATTTCTTCCTTTCTCCTTTCATTTCCCTCTTTCTCCTTTGATATGCCTATTCAATCATGTTTCATAACATTTACTTGTATGGCTAATAAGGACAAGGCTTTTTAGTAGATAGCGCTGATACAGAAGTGAGAACAATTTCTCTTGACCCTTACATGAGTTGTCTAGGGTAGAAAATAGACAAGCAACTAGGATACTGACATGTGCCAGCATAGGTAGACATTTAATGCATGGGGCGGAGGGAGACATGATCACAAGAGCCCTCCTGGACAAGATGGCTTTTTTTCCCCTCACTCTTGAAACATGGGGAGAGAATATGGGGTGTTCCAAGATGGTGATCTAGGAAATAATTTGCAAATTTTCAGGATTCTAGGCCCTCAGTTCTATGGTCAGCAAGGAGAAAAAGATACACAATAGCAATTAAGAAAAAAGAAAGAAAACCAGCCCTGAAAAGCAAGCAAGCAAAAAATAAACAGAAAAAGACCCAGTCCATCTCATATGGCAAACAAAAGACACATCTGGGATCATAAAATAAAAAGGTACCCGCTCCACTTGATAAGTCTTCTGTGATGAATGTAGGGTGGGACTCATGACCTCCAGCAGATCCTAGCTGCTGGGTGTGTTCCCATTGCAGGCTGTCTTCTCTCTGCGCCTAGATTGTTGGTGAGCTCACCTGAAAGCCACCCCCAAAGCCACTCCCATTTTCCCCAAAGAGCTTGGCTTGACTCCTGCCTTTGTGAGACATAGTATTTTTACAATATTATGAGAGCTTATCTGTGTTGGACACTGTGTCAACAATTTGTTTCTATGAAGGGAAATATTTAGTTCCCCCTTCCTTCTTCCTTCCTTCCTTCCTTCCTTTCTTTCTTTTCTTATCTTTCTGTAGAACACTGTTTTGTTGCAACCTCCCACCCATCTAAACACTTGGTCTCTGACATCAAACTCTTTCTCTGCTAGCCTGCTAAATGCCCTGCTATTTAGAACTATCTTTAAAGCGCCAGCAGCTTACAGTGAGAAGCAGAGGGTATGTCTTGAAAATAAACTGCACATGTCTTCATTGATGATATTCAGGTCAACATTTTTTTTTTTTAACTGGCAGAAATCTTTTTCATTTTTAACCTGGGTCATTGCTGTAACTAACTGGAAGAGGATCTTCAGTTTGGCCTTGAAGGAGAAAAGCCTAGAGAAGAACCCTCAAAATACCTTAACAATGTATCTTAGCCCTTAAATATCTTAAAGTGAGTACTATGAGGTTCAAGGGCCACAACCATACTTCTGACCTTTATCTTCTCTTCTCTATCCTTAAAAGTGGTCCAGGTACACAAAACTCTCTTTCTTGACAAGCATCAAATTCCAAATTTGGCCTCCAGCTTGGCTATTAAAACATGAAAGTCACGATTCACAGGCAGGTAATTACACTCTCCAGTGAGGTAATCTATCTACCTGTGTGTCTTGTAGGAAGAGGCACAGAAGGCCCCCTCCCCACCACATGCAGAATTGTAAAAGAGAGAGCCAAAGAACCTTCACTAGAGAGAGACAAAAAAACTAGACCACAGTGTCCAAGAGAAGCGGAATCCAAGGTGAAGGCAAGGCTGCCATGGAGGGATCTGCAGATGAACACAATGACATTTTCAGTTTCCCCAGGCTTTGGCCATGCTGACAGACACAAAAACCTATCCTGGCCATGGAGTTGGGTACTTTCCTAACCTTTCTCTCTGTAGAACACCTTTTCTGTGTTTCTAGCACCTGTCTTTGCTGCGGAGCCTAAGACTTTCTGACCATCATCTCATCTCTTAATGTCTCTCTCCCAGAAGCTCTCATGCCTCCTTCCTGCTTCATCTGTCTTTCTGGCAAAAGCGATTGTTTTTGCAAGACCCCACTTAGCTTATTTTTGGGTTGGGACATGGTGGCTGTGTGCATTTTTTACCTGCCTTTCTGGATTGTCCTCTAAGGCTGTAGGAAATTCTTTTTCCCAGCGCATGAAGGCTTGAATGGATCCTAAGGGTGTCCTTCTGTTCTATCATGAAGCAGGGTGTGTGTGTGTGTGTATGTGTGTGTGTGTGTGTGTGTGTGTGTGTGTGTGTGTGTGTGTGTGAGGGGGGTCTTCAAGATTCCTTGAGCTGCTGGAGGCCAAATGAAGATACACTCACCTGAAAAGGGTGCAGTCCTTCTTAAGAAGAGCAGCTGCAGCTGGCTTTTTCTTTCTGAAGTGAATGTTATGATAACATTACTCACAAGGCCCATGGGAACAGGCTACGGGAATATGAGCTGAGGCTCTACAGATTTGGTGGACAGCAGAAGAACATCTCCATGCCCATGTGTATATCACTCCCAAAGGTTTCCAACTGTCCTGTCTAGGGGAGTGACCTCAAAGAGCTATTTCCTTTGCCAGGAGAGTCCACAGTGACAGATCCAAGCCACTTGATGGTGTGTCTCTACTCTTCCCAGGTAACCTAAGATCCACAGTCAGCTACAGGGTTAGGGTTTTTCCTCATTAGCTACAATAGGCCAAGTTTCAGCCCTTAGTCTCTAGGCATTCATTCACCTTTTCTTTAAAAATTAAGTGAGTACATTATACATGTAGTAGCATGTTACAAAATAGACTCATAGGCTTCTCCAGATCTCTGTTTTAGCTTCTCTTTCAGCTGGAAAAGCAGCCCTTGAGGGAATAAACTCAATCCGACTATACCTGTGTTACAGATAAATGATGAGATGAGGACTCTTATTTGGGTCACCTAGTTAGTGACAATGTGGACCAGAGACCCACATATGTGAAACCATAGGTTCATTACATTCAACAAATATTTGTCAAGGGCTAGCAATGTCCTAAGCAAAACAAATAAAAAAAATTCCCAGCCCCATGGAATATACATTATATTGAGGGGGGAGAAGACAATAAATGAAATTAATATAAAATACAAATATAAGCAGAATGTTGGAACTTATTTAAAAAAGTAGAATGTTGGGTAGTCATAAGTGGAAAACATAAAGAATAATAGATTAATATTGTGGGGTGGGAGTTGAAACTTTAGATGAAGTTACTTAATGGAGAGATTTGAGAAGAGGCCTGAAGAAGGGAGGGATAAAACCATGGGGATAGCAGGATAGGGAGTTCCAGAAAGAGGGAACAAGATGTACAAATACAGTTCTTGCAGAGACTGTTTCTGGTGGTTTAGAACGACAGGGAAGGCTGTGTGCTGCCTGAGCAGACAGAATAGAGGGAGGGTGTTAGGGAAGTGAAACCAGGAGATTTTTGAGACCTGGGTTACATAGGGCCTTATGGATTATTTAAGGATTTTCACATAGCTGAAGGCCCTTGGATGAGCCAAGGGACTGTGGGCAAGTTTCAAGCAGAGGAGGGATATGTTCTGATGTGGTTGTAGATGCAAAATTCTATCAGACTGTTTCTAGCTCTCCATGATCTCCTTTAGATAGATGTTTCATTGGTCTTTATTTTGTCGCTCCCCCACCCTAACTTCTTCATAATCCAACCCTTTAAGTTTAAGCACCATGTTTGTCAGGAAGTGGCATCTCTAGACCTTCTGATTTTCCCCCTCCAAGGATATGTCCCTTGCCTCATACATCTCAGGACTTCTTTTATGCTTTATTCAGCACTTTATTTGGCTCAGTCTCCCATCTTCTCTAAATGTTCTTGACATGTCTTACCTTGACATTGTCATTGCAGTCTCTGAAAACAAGCCCAGAATTATTTTCTTACCAATCAGTCATCACAACTTTCTTGTTATTCATCTGTTTCTGGCAATGAAGTTCATTCATTCATGCATGCATGCACTCATGCATTCATATGTTTTATTCAAGAAATATCCTCAATAGTAGTTCTGTGTAGGCAATGGGTTGAGCTTAGGAGCTAAGAAGTGAATATGATAAAGTCCTTCCTAACAAAGTGCTTGCGGATGCACAACCTTGAAATAATGTGGAAGAGCCTTGAGTCTCATCGATTTTTATGAGAACTTGAGGGAAGCGATGCATTCTGAGATCAAAACAGCTCCATAGACACTAAGAATAACTTTCTGGTCTTTGATGAAATGATTGGATTTTTGTGTTCCATCTAAACTTTTATGCACCTTTTAAGACATTATTTGTTTTTTTTAAATATTGATTTATTTAGGCTTTAAAAGTAGATTCCAGGGGATACTCTAAAGTACAGCAAACTTGTCTTGTGGATCCCAAAGACATTATTTCTTTATCCATTAATTTAACCAGAATTGACTGATGCTATGGAGTCTGGCATGGTTGCCTATGCCCGTAATCCCAGCTCCTGGGGAGGTTGAGGTAGGAGGATTGCAATTTTGAGAGCAGCAGGGCAATTTAGTGAGACCCTGTTCCTGTTCTCAAAAACAAAAACAAAAAACAAAACAAAACAGAAAACCCTAAAAAGGCAAACAATAGCAAGGAGATCCAAGAAAGCAGCACTACAGATGAAAGTGTAGGAACAATAAATAAGATATATTTCTTGCCATGAGAAACGAGCTCAGAGAA